CGTTAATCATTTTTTTTGTCCAGGCTAATCAGTAGACATGTTACAAGTTTTATATTATTAGCAGACAATTACATTTAGGACTCTAGGGTCGACCCAGCCTTGAGTGGGTACCAGATGCAGTCCTGGGAAAGTAAAGGCGGCCAGCGTAACCACATCACCCACCAAGTGTCGATTGGTCTATTAAAAATATAGATCTAGACCTAAATTCCCAACTCGTCTAGATGCGCGGAAAAGAAATCTTTACTTTAATTACATTTAGGAGCCGTCGCCGTATTAAAGAAATCACTCCAGTAAAATTGTTAATAACCTCAGCGGAGAACATGCCGGCGGCTCTCGGGTGCAAATATGTGGCTGCAGTTAGAGCAGCAAATATAAAAGTGACCAACGAGACCTGATTGTCAGATGAAACAGTGGATCGATATATCGCAGTTATATAGTTGTTTCTCGGAGTGTCTGAGCTTTGCCAGTACAAGTTGACCGTCTTATTGGTCTCATTGTTTTCTATGACGCTGGAGGTGATTAAAGCCTACATCAGGACTTAGCGAAGTGTCAGCGTAGTTTGTGTACACGTAATTGCCCGGTCAGGGGTACACTTTTAGATCACCCAAAATGAATGTAGCCATACAGACCACTAAGAGATAAGAGCTGTACGCGGTAGCTTTAGAAAGTTCCCGACATTTTTTTACTGTGTAGAAATGCTCATAGGTAACAATATTTCAGAGATTCTAATTCCGATTGTAGCCTATCACAAGTAGAGAAGTAAATAGTAGCTTACCCTGGAAACAACAAAGAAACAGTATGTCATGAACTGGGAAGCTGGACTAAATTACTAATCCATACTTTCTTTTATTCGTCTAGATTTCATGTTTGTCGGTCGCCATGTACTTCACAGGCAGTGCTAAATACAAGATAAAATATTAGAAAACTCAACGAGGGAATGTAAAAGGTGCGCACAAATACAACCAAACGTTTCGGCCTTTACAGCTGTGCTGAATGTTGATCCATGCAAGACTTAAAACGCCAAAAACTATGACTGGACTAATTTACTAATCCTTACTTTCTTATTTCCGTCTTGATTTCATGATGGAACTTTAGTGGCCCTCTACAGTTTTAGAGATGTCCAAATTGCTGAGTGTGACTCTAATTCTTGTGTGCGGCTTGTGTGGGCCTTCCCTGGCCGTTGACAGTTGTCCTTACGAGGTTAGTTAACAGCATTATGACATCATCAATAGGATCATCATCATCATCATCACTACCATCGACCTTCATAGAAGTAAAAAAATGAGTCAATCATCGTTTACCCTAGAACAGAATTGCGGCAGGCGTCTAGCCGTTTTGTGGAGAGAGACTGGGCCTTATGAGATAACACTCGGTGCAATGAAGTCGATCATCTCGACTTTAACTTTTTAACCTTCAAAGATTACTGGGATTGAGTAAAGTTCTGGGAAGTAAAGGCGGCCGGTATGATGTTGACCCCATAATCACCAACGGTGTACTGGTGGTCTGTAAAATATATGTCTAGCACTAAATGCCATATAGGTCTGAAGACGTAGAAAATTGTCCCTTACATGTCAGATTACATTTGTTTGCCATTCAACACAATATTATTATCTATTTTATTATAATGATTATTGGTTTCACAAGTGTTAGTATGAAGGGGTTGAGGTAAAGCACTTAGTCCCCAAGAAATATCCTCAAGGTATACGTCTCTTCAAGTTTCTAACAGCAAAAGTCCAGCTACTGGCCTTTTTGTGGCTTGACCAACAGGGGAAGGGACAAAAGCGGATGTCTTGTACCATAACCAGGTACTTGGGACAAGTGAGGCTCGCCAATAAATCGGCAAAGTTTCATCTAGAAGAAGGAAAACTGCACTGTCAATACCCTACATGAGGAAAGCACTTGGGAAGTAAACTCAGAAGACATTTTTAGCCTTATTTGGTATCTAAGCAAGGCTGAGACCTATTGAGGTCCCACAGACAATATGTAAGAAGGTTCCCTCAGAAAAATATGTGTGTGGAGATATTGAGTACTACTGTCCCATGACAGTTTCCATGCATCATGTAATGTCCCTGTAACCAAGGCTGAATTGACGGATTCCTAACCCCTCTTTGAGAACCACATCTTTTTTTTTACTGACTTCAAATTCTCTAATAACTATAGGTTGTTAGTAAAAAAAATACAGCTTATGGGCAAATGTCTTTAAAAATGGGTTCCACGTGTATTATCAAATTGTTAATAAAGCAGAGCATTCATTGTTTCAGAACCACCTCCACAAAAATCGATGAAACCTCCTAGGGTATTGTTAGTTTTAAGATTGCACACGGCACCCGTAAAACATGAATATAATGGCCAACGAAGTTTGTTGAGTTTCTATTCTCTACTGGGTGACTACGGCAGGAAGAGATTATACGAACTATTATTTAACAATTTAATAAGCGAGTATTAAAGGTCGTGAAACCGGGTTTTTCACAGGCCAGTTCCCGCAAAATTGTATATGACCGTAAACAATCTTTGCATGATGTAGTCACTTGGTGTATTTATATCTTGACCGAGGTATATAGCTCCTGCCATGGTCAGCTCTACTCCCTAACTGCAGCAGCCAGATACTGTAATTGTCAAACTGACTGTCATTTCAGGTGTGTGACTGTGATGGGACTGAAATCGGATGCTTTGGGCTAGGACTTACTTCATTGCCAGTCCTGGATAATGTTAAGGAGGCTGGTTATCTTACACTCGTTCTCGACGTAAGTAATCTTCCTAATTTGAAAGGCAGTTTGTATTCCAAGTCGCTTCTTAAAATGAAAGCTGTTGTGACGTGGTGGCTAGACGCTTGTCTGCCTGCCGACTCGAAGGTCTTTGGTTCCAGCTAGCACCAATTGTAAGATTTGTCTAGCCGGCTTAAAATTGGTACACGAAAATATCATGGGATCTGAAGTCGACGGGTGTGATACTGACCACATGGCTGGGTGAGGATAGTATATATATATGTGTGTGTCTAGTACTGTATGCCCGATGTATCATTGATGCGAAAAAGGTCCTTTATTTCATTTTTATTTCTCAGAATGTGATCCATTTACACATAAAAGTGTTTTTATGAGTATTATGCTATGATGAGGCATGGGACTCAACCCATGGAGTTGGCGACTGTGACTAGCAAGACCCGACCAAGTTAAGAAGAGTTTTCCGCAATTGGAGCAAGGGATTTCAGAACCGTTGTTGCCATCATGTGTATCTAGTGTGCTACTTTTCAGACACTCAGATCTCATCCTTTCTGCAACAATTTCTTCCTTCATTATTACTCCCTTTCTGACTTGCCTGCCCCCTCCACGCAACACGGTCCGTGACATTTTGTTACCATGAAATTACCTTAATAACTGTATCCTTCATGCCCCGCTTGCGCACATGTTAATATCAAAGTAGAGGCCAGCCTCGACATCTTCTACCCTTCTGTATGTGAATCAGACAGAACATCATACATTCGTTTACTATATGCATGTGAGATATGGACAATCAGGAACTATTTACTTGAGGCCAAGATGTGATTTTTGAGAAGAATTCAAAGATTATCGTGGAGCGATAGAACACCAAATGAAGCAGTCTTCGTCGAGGCAAAAGAGTTATAAACTTATTAAATATAATAAATAGATTCAACATACCACTTTAACATTCTTTTTCTCACTGCAGTTTGCATCTTTTCATTGCTGAGTATCTTTTGCATTCCGCTTAAAGCAACTTTTGCCATGGCGATTATTATTCTAATTTCTGCCTCAGACGTTATTACTGTTCCAAGACACAGTAGTATATATTTTGTTTGCATTCCACACTCTGGTGTATCTGTCTTCTTGGTGATAATAATGTTTTCCGTTTTCTTATAATGAAACACTAAATTTTTCTTACCTTGATCCATTACTGCATCCACTACACACTGCGGATCCTTTTTTATTGTCTGCAACTAACACCATATCATCTTATTTCTTGATGTTACATCCTCTCTCGTTGATTCCCTACGCGTCCATATACGTCGAATAATCATTTCACTGTGTAAGGAGAACAGATTTGGAGACATTACATATCCCTGTAGGACACCTCTCTTGATTAGCTGGTACAGGCTTACTTCATTATCCATTTTTTTAGCAGTGTGTTGCTTCCAATATACGTTTTTAATCAGTCTATATTTCCTCATCAATCTGTAGCAAGCTTCTAGCTGTTTCACTACCCCGACTCGAAATCAGCTCTTTAAAAGCAGCATTTATGTATGACAGCGTATAATCTGTGAATTTAAGCTCATTTCCACAACTGAACATCATTTCTTTCTTCATTCTCATTCCCTTTCTGACCTGCCCCCTCGACGACTAAGGTCCATGGCATTTCGTTCCCTGAAAACTACTTCAGTAACTGTGTCCTTAATGTCCCGCTTGCATACATCTTTGGTTTGGTTTTAGTTTATAGAACGGAACAACATCATGGAACAAAGGTAGTAACCCATAAGTGTACCGTTCTACTTCTAACTCAAGCCTGAGCCTGAAGAATCTCCAAATGTTGCCCGGGCAGCGCCGTTAGGATTTCCAACTGCCAAGGGATTTTTTTTTACATGCGAAACAATACACACGGCCGTCCGATCCTACTACCCAGAGACCAGGAGAAATTATTAGAAGTCCATGTGAAAAAATCCTAGCCTTTACCATGGCTTGAACCCTGCACCTCCAGCACTCGAGGCGGACGCCATTCCTCCATTAAGACCATTCAGCCCCCCCCCCCTTCCCTCTCACATCTTTATATCGTAGTAGAGATCAGCGTCAACATCTTCTACCATTCTGTATGTGAATCAGAAAAACACCCATTCATGTGTTAAACATGTTTGAGACATGGACAACAAGCAGACAAGCTGGAAACCAGCAGTTTATGTAACAGTTAGTTTATTGTTTCCAGCTGCATATTGAAAGCTAGCTTATCTGAATGTGTTTTTATATTGTTTGTATTGTATTGTTTGTACTCAACAGTCAAACAACATATACGAAATAAGAGCTGGGAGTCTGCCGGCAGGTTTGAAGGAGATTTCGATAAACAACAATCCTATCACAAATATTGACAAGGACGCTTTCAGTGATCTTTCAATAACTTTAGCGACATTGCATTTTTCCAGCGCTAATTTTACCAGAATTCCAGACGCATTTCTACGCTTGAACGCTCTTCAAACTTTAAGTTTACAAGATACCACAATCTTGGATTGGAACCCAGCGGCCATGACACATTTAGGACAGACTTTGGAGAGGTTGAGCTTAGCAAATGTTGGATTTACCACCTGGCCAGTTTGGCTCCAGACTTTTTCACATTTAATGGAATTAGATATTGTAAACAGCGCAATTTCATCAATACCAAGCAATGCATTTGACAATTTGGCCAAGAGTTTAATTACCCTGTCACTTTACAACAATAGTTTTATTGGTATTCCAAAAGCAATATCTGTACTGAGTAATTTGCTGACATTAGACTTACGCTACAATAAAATCTCCAACATAAGTTCTCTACCCCAGCCAGGACAATTATCAGATTTGTCCTTAAGTAATAACTTCATCTCCGATGCCAACCAACTCAGTGATCTGCTCCGTCCTCACGCGGACTCTCTTGTCTCTCTAACTCTGTCTTTCAATCGACTTACATCCATACCTGATTTGTCCTTTCTAACTAAAGTAGTCAGCTTGGATTTGAACAATAACCAAATATCAGCTGCATTTTCCGGCTCTGTCTATGGCGATATTGACGAACTTAACCTGGGGTATAACTTCCTACCTCATATCCCACCTTTTTACAAACAGTTACAGCTGTTATCATTTATGGATTTACCGCATAACTCAATTCGGGAAGTAGTAGGAACCGACATTCCAATTTGGGTAACGGATATAGATCTCGATTTTAATCTGATTACCGAATTAACAGATACGAGTTTTCCAGTAAATTCGTCACTTGAAGGTTTAACGTTGGATAATGTCCCAATTGCCAAAATATCCGTTTTGGCTTTCATTAATCTTCACTCACTCGTTTCTTTGAGCCTGGTCAATACAAAACTGACCCGCCTACCGCTCAGTCTGGCCATTTACAGGCTGTGCGTTATCTAGATCTCAGAAACAATACTGGTCTCGTGTGTACTTGTCTGGAGAAAAGTTTAGCACCTATAATTACTTCCGGGTTAGAATTAAGTGGAAACTGCGGTCGCATTAGTATTTACACTTTTTTCTCAACTTTGAGCGGAAACTGTCCTTAACATAATATTTTATTATTTATTTTGGGTTGTATCTTTTGCTGTATATATAAATCATTGTTCTGTGTAAATTACTATTGTCACGTTTTTAGATGAGTTGAGTCAAGAACTGACATCACGGCACTCGGGGCATTCCCATACATGCTCCGTCCTCATCTTCAGCAGCCAGCGCAGAGTTCCCTTACTGATAGTACCGTTCACAATCAGGTTATATGTCCGTCCTGCCTTTCCTCTGAGTGTAGTGAGCCGGTGGGAGCCTCTAGTTACACCCAGGCGCCTCATTCTCTCCAGGCCATAATAATCTTCTTTCTCTACTGATTTCGTTGCTTTTTCCCAAAGGGCCTTGACCACATCTATCTTGTCATGTATCAATTCACCTCCCAGTGGTGCAGATCCAGCCAATCTGTCTCTCTGTTCATTTTAGATGAATTATTATAATGGTGACTGTAAGTAAAATAAAGGGCAATTTTCCCAGCCTTTGGACGTATGAGAGCATACTGGGCTATACCTATATTTTATGACCAATCAGCACTTGATGGGTGATGTGGTCAACATCACGCCGGCCGCCTTTACTTCCCAGGATTCTTCTTTTTAAAACTTTAGGCTGGGTCGACTGGGGAGTCAATATAATTTTTGAAGAAGAAAAAAAGTCCGGCTTCGTCTGGACCTGAATCCAGGAGCTTCCGATCCGAAGGCGAGCATCTAACCGCTATACCACGGGGGATCCCCGTAATGATGGCTGTGCTGTGTTATATTATGATTATGTTTCTGTGTGTCTTGTTCATCTAGAAATGTTTTCACACATAAAAGGCTGCTAGTTAATATTTCCCAGATGTAAGTTCATTCAATATTTTATTTAACGAGCGGGTGAACGAGTTCAACCCGATCAGGATCACGCAATCAGCGATTAACACCCGGAGACACAAAGTGCCACCATTCGGATGAGGATCACCCATGAAGAAGTCCCAGAAATCCCGTTCAACTGTTAGGTTATATTAGGGTCCCTGGCAACAACCAGGGTGGGGCTTCATAATAACAAAAAATGCATCCTTCTGGGGACGGAAATTGATTAGGGGGTTAAACAGGGTGGGGGGGGGGGGGTGTTACTTTATATACTGGGACAGAATTTAATGTAGGTAAAACTCTAATCTTCTCAGTAAAATAATGTTCCACTATTATTTGCTAACATGCGTATTTCCAGTGTTATTACTAGAATCATAAATTTGCATCTTTTCAAGGTTATCATTGACAAAACTAATCTATGTTTGCTGTATTACATTTGTTGAAACAAACAAATAAACACTCTTTTGAATGTTGTTATCGGTTTGGCCCATCTAAGTCTTTCTATAGTTTTGAAATAGTCAAGAACCGACCTCCTAATCGCCGTGGCGTAGCGACTAGACGCTCGCCTGCAGAGGTTGTAGATTTGCTCTGTGGCGGAGCCAGACTTTCTTCAAAAACGACCTTCGCTCTCAGGTAGACCCAGCCTTGAGTAGGTACTGGGTTAAGACCAGGGAAGTAAATGCGGCTGGTGTGATGCTGACCACATCATCCATTTTGTGCCGATTGGTCTATACAAATATAGGTTTAGCCCTATATGCATAAAGGCGTGGCAAAGGGGTTCTTAACTTTACTTTACTTTACTTACGTTTACAAACCTCGTAATGTTATCCTTGGCACGGCCAGTTTAGGATTCTTTAAAGTTATTATAAACCTAGCTAGGCAGTGTATTTGAGATGTTATGATTGGCATTGCGATCATTGTTATTCTAATGTTAGTATCTTAATTATTATTATCTATTTGTGGGTTGTATTCTCTGCAGTGTACATAAGTCATTAATATGTTGAATTGCTATTTTAGATGAATTATTATGACTATGTTATTGTGTTAAACTATTTTTGTGATTAAATATCGTTTTCTGTAGATGTTGTTTTATTCTTTTTTTTGTACTGTATCGTTGTAATATTTATAGTGTGTTTATTACTCTTGTCGGCTCTGTGGCTAAGTCGATGCGAACGCTTCGTAATGCCGGGTTCGATCCCAGCTGCGAGCCATGCGCCTTGCGTTGGTTTCGACAGTGGTATCAAGAAAGCCGACTGTCCAAAAAGCAATGGCAAACTACTGGACGTAAATATGCCTACAAAGACCACACAACAGTCAGGAGCTGTTGGGGTTGGTTCTGCAACGTCCTGTAAATGATACGCAACTTATCTTATTACTCTTAGCTTTCCATCTTTAAAGGGTTGTTAACTTTCAGTGCACCAAATAAGTCAGACATGAAACCAAAATATCGTGTGTGATATATTTGACCTGGGTAAATAAGAAAACCTGGGTTGGGGGAAAGTGGGGGGGGGGTTAAGGGTGTTCCATATAGCCCACTGTAAATTATGGGAAAGGAGGGGAGGGGGAGCTTCGCCCACTCTTAAATAATATTCTGAAAACTCACAAGCTCTACCCCAACCATTGTTTTGCATTCACAGAAGCGCCAGAACTTAGGGGCGTGGCATAAGATGCCTGAACTCTCACTTCCGGTTCCTCTTTACCTGACCTCTAACGATGACGGAAATAGCATTTACTCATTGCTGCCCCCGTGTGGGGAAAACAAGAACAGACCCACTGCCTCCCCAACAAGCATGTCGTAAGAGTTAACTATTTGAAAATTTCCTTCAAAGCCTGAGTGCAAGGAACCAACAGCATGCATACAAATAAGCCAGATGTGTAAAATAGATGTGCATGCAACAATCTGTTTCTGGAAAAGGACTATAGAACAGAGGTGATGAAGAACCAGAATTTTCCGCCCTTGGAAGCAAAGAAGAAGAAAGATTCAATGCTGTATAATATGAGGGATATTTAGTCTTATGGAGTTAACGCATTTATCTACCAGTGATCGGATTCCAAAACAGGAAACTAACCACACTTTAGAGAATCGTAAAGTGAGGAAGCAACGCTTGGATTTGATAGGCGCACAATTACACAAACTAATAATATTGTGGCAAAGAAGTCGGTTACCTGGAATAAACAACACACACAAAAAGGAGACCTGGGATACGGGGAAAGAGAATCAAAACCAGAATTGAACCAAATGGGAAACATACAGGCTCGGATTAAAACCATGTGATGCCCTAGGCACTTAAACGATGTTAGTGCCACTCCCACTCCCCTTCTACATCGGCTATTGGACCGCCTATTGGCTCGCCAGTAGAGGACTACGTCGCCAGTGGGGATAGTATTTGGGTCTGTCTCCTTTGATCGCATGAACTCTGCAGGAGTCCTTTTCAGGGCTCTTGGAGTCGTGCAGTACTAAGCCGTTTTTTAAGACACACATAACCTAGTCACAGTTATAACCTAAAGCTCCCCCTCCGGAGATGCTGGCTGACTGTGACGATGATTATTTTTCCAGCAAACTGCCTACCTACCCGCTTTACCCAAGCCGAGGTAAAAACATTATAGGCCCCTGGGCAAATCAATGTGCTGGGGCCCCTCACGGCAACCTACCTACCCGCTTTACCCAAGCCGAGGTAAAAACATTATAGGCCCCTGGGCAAATCAATGTGCTGGGGCCCCTCACGGCAACCTACCTACCCGCTTTACCCAAGCCGAGGTAAAAACATTATAGGCCCCTGGGCAAATCAATGTGCTGGGGCCCCTCACGGCAACCTACCTACCCGCTTTACCCAAGCCGAGGTAAAAACATTATAGGCCCCTGGGCAAATCAATTTGCTGGGGTTCTTACGGCAACCACCCACCACTCACAGGAACAAAATGTAAATGACCGTTTGACATACACAGATTAGCCTGGGATCCATATACTGGTAGGGAAGTGCCCACCAAGGTTATGTGTTAAGAGGGCACTGGTGCCCCTATATGTTTGTTATTCAAAACATAAACAATAACAAACAAAAATAATCAAATTGTATTAATGGAAATTAAACAAAACTTGTTACAAGATTAAAGAAAATATATATCTTTCTATACTTCCACTTTATTTATGTTTGAAAAGTTTTCTCCTACTTGCTTGTTTTAATTGCAAAGTCTTTGATCAGATCCTTAAAACTAATCTTAACTCGTCTACTTCTATGGAGATAAGACTTCCAACCTGCCTCGTTACATTATTGTTCTGGTTGCATTTTGTTCTTGTTGTTGTTGTTGTTGTTAATATACTTCAACTGAGAACATGAAGACAGTTCCAAAGCTACAGAAAATGTATGTGATGCATCCAACCTTTGTGCGTAATGATTGATTAATCGAGCCCTGGAAAGACAACTAGATAAGCTGAGTTATGTTTTATTTTAATGAACAAATTGTATGAGAACGTATGGTTATAAAGATGGATAAAGGACAGACAATTAAATATTAAGATATGCAGTAAAAGAAGAAAAGTATTTATGTGCGTGCATGCGTGTGTTTGTAGTTAAGAAGACATGGTAGCGTGTGTGTTTGTATGTGTGAGAGTGTGTGCGTATGATTGTGCATGTACGTGTTTGTTGAGGTGGGTGGGGGGTGCTATGTATTGTCAACATTCTCACAAACTGTACAAGTATTTTAGACATCGGAAACGTGATTCTTTAAAGATGATAGAGACTACATATAACATTTCTTTAAACACAAAACAAAATGTATACTAATATGAATTTGGGTCTTGACGACGTCAACGATGTTTATTCCTCGGATGTGTCTGGCTGTGTTTATGTAAGTAAAGATGCGAGCACGATTACTCAGTTCGTCGCGAAACCACGGCATCTGCTCTCCTGATTTTATGTTTCCATTACAGAATGGTAGAAATAGAAGACAACTTCAGATGACAGCATCAGGAATGTCAGGTCACTTCGCAGATGATAGTGTGTACTTGAAACTATG